TTTTGGGTGACCACACAGAACATAGTATGACATCGTACTAGCAAGGATCAACGGGACCGACCAGAATGCTATTAATTCAACGGGGTCAAGGTCAGCTTCTCAGGAGATGATGTCTTTCTGACAAGGTCAATGCCATCCACAAGAACTGGAGAGTCAGCGTTTCAACGAGAGACACGAAACCTTATCTAGCAATTGGAGGTTTGTTGGTGTGAATGTCTTGCGGGACATTACCTTTGTACGGGCGCAAAGGTGTGTTAGCGTCATTGAGCAACGTTTATCACCGTTGGTGATCTGATCAGTATTATACTGCACTGGAGCTACGCTACTTCGGAACAGACTGTGTCTATGTTGTGACATCTGTGCCGTCAAGGAGTGAAGCTTTAATAAAATGTAGCATTATTAGTTATCTGTTAGATAGTGAGTGTGAATGTGAGAGTGTGATTTGTTTTTGATATATTCTTGTTGTAAATAAATTATTTACTCTTTAAACTATGTCTATTTGTGATCATTAGCCAAAGTACACAACGGACGCTCGTCCAACGTTACAGACTCCACATTTGCCAAATAGTGTTACAGTATAAAACATACTGTATCCGGTATTGTTTTAAGGTTCATCAGTTTCCTCGTTTTTCTCAACATCGTAAAAATGCATCCAACGCTTCTGAAGAATGACATGTGCACACATCAAATATAGGCTATTCGATGTTCGGGCCTAACATTAACCTTGTGAAACCAGTCGTTGTCCCTACCCTTTGGCACTTTAAAACGGCAGACATACACAAGTTTAAGTTGGATCGTTGTCGAGACATTATGAACCTGAATAGAAGTCATTGGGTTGGAATTATATATGCATTTCAATAAGTAAAGTTTTTATTGTGTTTAAACCTTCTAAATTATTTCCTTAGGCAAGGGAACGCCATCGTGAACATTTCTCTCGATATTAACGGTGTTTAACAACACTTACATATTTTGTAAATTATTATTTTTTATTTAAATGCCATCCAACACTTTTAGTTGTATTTCTACATATGGTTCGAAACACCTATATATTCTTTTTTTTGTTCCACCGTTTAGCACGTGTACGATTGATGAATCAAAAATGGACGAAATAGTCCTATGATGCAGTAAATGTTTACAGTTTGGCTCTCTGCGTCACCTTAATCTATATTTTAACAGCTGTTTCCTTTTCTTTGTTTTTTTTCTGTGATTATTCTATAGTGTAAACTGCCGAGCTGTTCTATTATAAAGGTCACTTTCGCAGCTGGGACCCTCATGCTATTCTTTAACCAATGTTATGTTAGTGCGAAATCGTTACTAAATAATACCCCTCTCTTGTTTATCTTAATGAAACCCATGCTTTTTTGCATTTCTCCACATTGTTTACCATCGTTTGATGATCAAACATGTGTTACGACTGTTCGATAAGTTACATCATGACTAACTACACAAACTAATACTTACTTTGTTATATATCACACTGTTGTGGCGGTTGACAATAGTTGCTGTATTTGACATTTTGTAGTCATTGTGGTTTACCATTTAGCCTTCCAATAGCACGGATCTGCAGTGTAAATGAGACACAAAAAGTTAATGAATCTCGTTTTATTAACTAACAAAAATGAAATCGTCAACAATTGTTGACTTTTTCGTCGAATCCAAACAAGGTTAAAAACCAATCTTCCTTGTCCGTTCATATTCTGATCATGGTGTACAGATCGTCCGATTAAACAGTCGTTCCCGAGGTTGTGCGCTAAAACGTTAAAAACTCCTGTGAGAAATAAGGTACTTGTTTGTTATCTGAATTTTAATTGTTGCATGATGTCCAATTTCAAACACTGCACGATGAACAGTAATACAATGACTGTTAAACTATAAAACAGTAATCAAACAACTTGGCCTAATGTGTTTTTTTAATCGCGTTTATAACTTTCTATAGTTCCCTGTGTGTGACACTTGCCATTTTTACACCTTGCCGAGTGAGATGCATTAGGTAACGAGAAAACGTCCAGGTACAAATCTCCCTGCTTATCTGTATAAGTGTATCCGACTATGTCCGATGCGTTTGTACACGTTGCGATTTAGATTGATAAAAAAATAAAAAATAAATAAGGCCTTGTGTATGGGGACTCCTTTTTGTCAATTTCTTTTACTAAATACTAGGTTTGCGTGGGACTTGTCATGTTGATGTTGCCCAGCACACAGTCATGTAACCCGTCAACATCGAATGCTACCTGTGGTTGCATTGTGACCGATTCAACGGAAATAGCAAAGGACGATTATTTCTGTGAACCGATACGAACACCAGATTTCCAAAAGTTCTTGTACATTTGTAAGTACATGTATTACTTTTTTATTTTGCTTGTTCACTTATATCTACAATAAAGCATAGTCAGTTGTTCATTTCCGGAGCACAACACACTGTTTCTTATTTGTTTGTTTGGGTGGTTTAAGGACCAATTCACTACAGAGTAGTTCGGTTATCCAGCAGACGAAATAGTTTTTTGCATTTATTGAACTAATCAATTGACACATAAACCTCAATCGGTGGAATTTCTAACGCACATGAATACTCTCCTGATTAATCTAATTATATATTACCCTATAGGTTAATATTAGAACGAACTGTCACAAGTTCGAAAATATCAGTTTTGCAGTTTCAAAGTGAACACTTGGCTTGGATGAGAAGTTCATTCAAACATAATACATCATGCCATAATGCTTTTAGTGTAAAATGAAGACAGGAATTAATTGCTTTTTTTATATTTTAAATGTTACAGAAATCGGCTGTAGGCTGCCTTAACTCGCCACTGGATTGCCTACACATTCATTTATTCCATACCAGACCACTGTGATCCACAAGAGGAAAAGTAAGTGCCATAACAATTGGTTGTATACGTAGTGAATTTTTTGTTAAGGAAATATAAAGCACTTGTACCCGATCACCTTGTTTATCGGCTGTTGTATCAACTAGCCTTCAGTTAGGTAGACATTCTTAATGCTGACCTCAGAAGTGTCTTTGTGACAGTTATTGAGCAACCCCGATTAGGCTAGCTGACAACTTCTATTTATATTGTGTTGTACATGTAGCTACTACTATGTTCATAAGATTGATACTACTCTATGTTTGAATTTCTTTTCAGTATAATTATTTTCTGGTGCTTGGAGTCATTCTAATGGCTCTATTTGAATAATTTCAAATGTCAATTATGATTTTCATTCATTTTGTGGTTTGTGTTTTGTCTTGTTTTAAGTAGAGAAGAATAAAATCCTTAATATGTTGTAAGTAATGAGTGCTTCGGAAATGTTATAAGTTAAGAAACTATGAATTTGTTACTTTATACTTATAAAGTAGACATTATGCTTCTTGTGAAATAAAAATTCCAGCAAATGATGATGCTTTACATCCATCGTTTCTAGCGGGTACACATACCTATAGACCGATACATTTTGGACGCTGTTATTTCGCTTTTTTCTACTTTAAAAAGTTTTGAAAGAGGACAATTTAATTTGCTTTCTTTAAGTGCAGATTTGATGTCCATTGAAAAGAATGTAACCGCAAAAATTAGTAGGGGTATTTGACGTAAGCAAACAGCGTTAGAATAGTAACGTCACGTAACGTCAGCAAACAGCGTTAGAATAGTAACGTCAGCAAACAGCGTTAGAATAGTAACGTCACGTAACGGCAGCAAACAACGTTAGAATAGTAACGTCAGCAAACAGCGTTAGAATAGTAACGTCACGTAACGGCAGCAAACAACGTTAGAATAGTAACGTCAGCAAACAGCGTTAGAATAGTAACGTCACGTAGCAGCGTTAGAATAGTAACGTCACGTTACAGATGCCTTCATGAAATTAGCAAACTGTCATTGCTAAAAGATTAAAACCACCTCCGTATTTTGTCTCATACTTTTGCCTGGGAAAGTCATAGAGAGATAGAAAATCATGTCATATTATCTTGATTGATGTTTAATAATAATAATTGTATATATCTGTCATAACTACCATGCACGTCATAATGATGCATCGAAACCATCGGCACTTTCCGTAAACTAAAAGATACCGCGGGAGCAGAAGGCGGAGCAATACAGACAACATTGTCAAAAAGGGTGTTCCGGTGTAAGGATGAACGAGTCTGTTGGTGCACCACAACTGTCATGGCGAACACTCAAATGCTTGGTGAATTTGCGGCACGAGAAACCCTATTTCAGCATGCTTTAAAAACAGAAACCGCGTGACACCCACAGAGGTTTTTATAAAGGCAATGACCTTAACAATTATTTAAAAACATGCTGACTTATAACGAATAAGATGATAAACAGTCTCATAGTAAGCGCAATAAATGCTGTCTAAATGACGTCAATACAGTACATACATAATGTAAGATCATTTTGATAAACACACTCACATCGTGAACTCATACATGTATATGCTGATAATTTACACGGAATACTTTCTTTTCACAAAGAACTTTGATATCCACGTGTTTGGTCATGCAGGCTTCCATCTTTGGTGACAAATAATGCCCCCGTAATGTAGGCTACGATACAGCATTTAAATTACAAATATGGCCACGATCGAGCTACTTCCGAGATGTTTGTTTACGGAAAGTGCCGACGGTTACCGATTGCATAATGATGTGTATTCAAACATGAACGCCACGTCCAACTGCCTGCTAGGTGTCTATATAACGATATACATGTACCCACTTCTATAAGGGACCCATTACTCCACGATCATTGATAAGAAACTTGTTCACTGTAGGGTTAGTGCAAGGCCAATTACTGCACGCACCGGATATTGTAGTGAAAGTTATTGCCCTTTGAATACTGGAATTAAAAAAGAGCATGGTTTTGTGTTGCTGATTGTTGTGAGCTAAATCGCGATTAAACTAGTATGACAAAGGATCAGCAATGATATTTTATTCCTGTATAGAACTGAGAGGTTGCTTCATTTTATATAATGAAGTGCACGTATTGCAATAACTATCTTTGTAAACGCAATTTAACGTTTTAAATAATGCTTTATTTACACATAGATAATGCCAAATGTTGGTCTGTTGATATAAATATTGAGACCTGCGATCAATTATTTTCATATCATAAATGTTATTTCCGTTCAATGGATTCCTGCATTGACCTCTAATCACCGAGTAGTCACTGCCACAGGCGATCTTGACTCATCAATCATTGTCTGTGCTATTTTTAAACGTCCAGTTGACCAGGATTATATTTGCATACCGGATGTAAGGACAGATGCAATTAAAGGCCAAGATGTGTTGGCATGGTGTTGATTGGTTGATTCTCTATATGGGCAACAAGCGAAAAAACATCATTGTACATCTTCAGCACACTCGAATTCTGATCTATCAAAGTTCTAGGGTAGTACGGTATATGCATGACGAGAGCATTCATCTGATTATACTGTTGAATTATCGACATAAGTGGGGAGTAAACTGCATCTTTTATCACGTAACCATTATATTAAAAGTATTGCATTCCTTTCCCTTTCATCACAGACAATGCTTTTCCGTGGTTGTCACTATCGTCCAGAAGTTTAAGGAAAGCAGCTACGACGGTGTCAACGCTGAAAGGTAGAGGATGACAATTAATTACATGTAACTACTGTAAAGGGGAATTTTTCTTGTGTAGAAATGTTTGCGCTGTGACCACTAAAAAAGATCAAAGTAAGGAAATCTTTTCATCGGCAAGAGATTTAAAATCTGTATATTCTATTTATCTAAAATATATCAATGATATTCGCGTGTTGGTAGTTTTGCGTTTATTTACTTAACGCAAAAAAACGAACATTGCTACACCGCAAAACTGTCCATTTTTAAAGAAGTTTAACCTCCTATGGATTATGAATGAAACAAACATGTGACTATACCGTAGCATTAAATATATCTTACTAGTAATACTAAACACAATGTTAAAAATTTAGTTTGGTTTGGTTTGGTTTGGTATTGTTTAACGTCCTATCAACATCTATGGTCGTTTAAGGACGGTCTCCCCTGTGTGAAAGATGCATGCGTGTAGTGTATGCGTGGATGTTTTGGGAAGCTGCGATATGTTCGTGTTTGTCTTCTTGTGATAGCGCGGAACTGATGCCGACTTTATAGTGCTACCTCACTGAAACATACTGCCGAAGACACCCAGCATGACACCCCACCCGGTCACATCTTATAATTTTAACATGTTTATATTTTGTACGCAAACAAGGATTTGTTATACATAGTCAAGCATGCGCTTCTATCGAATTACACCGGTACCAACACAGCTTAACGAACTGTGCTGTGTCCCAAAGTAGGACGTATTGCGAACTATAGAACATATTATGCTGGTGAACATTGGAACGAATACTTTATTTTCGATATCTTAAAATAAAAAATTGAACAGATTTTATTCCGAAATATCATTCCAATTCACAGAACTGCTTTATTAAACAATTGGTATTGTATCTTATTTCATTTAGAATATTAATATTATTATTTATCAGTAAAGCTGCAAGAATGCAGTAAATTAAAAAATGTATAACGTCAGGGAATAAAACTACTCAGAGTAAATCATGTAAGTAGAATATACAAACCTCATGACGCCAAGTTCCTGTAAAGAGGCATTGGCGAGGCTTTTACCGCATACAGCGTTCTCTGGCATCTTGATGATATCAGTGTCAGTGTAGGCTGGGCACAGACAAACCAAACGAATGTTGTTGTTCAACGTTTCTGTATTGATCTATGAAAAAAAACCACTTAATCAACAACAAGATTCGAACCCAGGAACTCCAACCTCGGTACCATCGCTCCAACTACCTAAACTACTCTAACTACTTGGTCAATGGTACGGTAGCACATTTACCCAGTCGCACTACCCTTTAATCAATGTGTATTTAAACAAAAAAATAAGGAGAGGTTATGGATGTTAAAAAAACGAGAATAGTATGGTGGTGGTGGTGGTGGTGGTGGGGATAGTTTAAAGAACGATTTCAGATTTTTTTTTGTCATCAGCAGCGTGAAATACTGTACAATATTTGCTTTACTTCATTACAGCTATTTCCATAAAGCTTTCTGATATGAAGCTGAAATAAAACATTAGTTTGGTTTCGCCCGACTGCTATTACTGACATGTTATACATGTTTTCCCTAGCAAACTGATGTTTTATTATGAAGACATAATATAACCGTTACAAAGACATGGTGCTTCGGTAACATTGTTTACATCATTGTAAAGATGATAAAGCCAAACATTAAGCAACATAACACCCCATAGACTAGGGAAGCATAGAAATAACACCCCATAGACTAGGGAAGCACGGAGCATTTTGTTACATGGATCATTTGTTCGGCTACTAAACGCTTGTCATTTTTATTCACTTCGAATCGATACATATACTCAGAATATCAACTTACAGCCCAACTTTTCGTGTAAGCCACAACGCCATGTTTCGTCGCAGTGTATGCTGGGACGTGGCCCACCGGAAGAAGTCCTGTATATACATTGAAAAAAAAAAGACAAAATACACATTATTACATCAATTTAAGCCATCTATAAACAGGCCTATTATTATTTTTTTCATTTTATCGTTTGGAGTGCGTTGTATGAGATGTTTAGAAAAAATGGTTTTGATCATTCCGAACACTGTTTATATGTGTTGCATTCAATGAAGCGATTCTTTTTGTCGTCGATCTACTTTCAAAATATATCTTTCACAATCCGGAATCTAAAAATAGTAGCAACATTAAAAATAAAGACTCTCTGAGCTCTGATCATAGCCTTGCATGGCTTGGACGTTTTTTTCCGTCTATCGTAGGATCCATTATACATTGTAAAACGCATTTTTCTCCTGAATCAACATCTAACTTTCCTAATGGAGGAAACTGTTTCTCCTCTGGACCAGAGCCCATCTTACGCAATACAGAACACATTTATCACCAGTCCCGACAGACATACCTGCCATAGACGCTATATTGATAATAATCCCTCCTTTGCCTCCATTGGTCGATTTCATGGCATCCATTCCCATCAAAGTTCCCCTCATTACTCCTTTCTAAGGATAAAATAAAGTCAATCAACATCCGAATCGATACAATGAATTTATGGTTGCATTGTATAAACTTGTAGAAAATTAATCCACATATTGAGTACAAAGCTTTCAACAGTTCTGTCTGTATTTCCTAACAATACTCATTGGGGTTTTTGTTATCTTAAAATATGTTACTCTATTAAGTAAAAATAAAGCTTTCTTATTTGCAGAATATGTGACAATGGTACCGGAAGTTAGCCTACGTTAATTAGGTGTTTGGCTGCCAGGTGAATTCCGTTCCGTCGGGTACTTTATTTCTAATCGAAATATGATATTCAATCAGTTCCCATAGCAATATGGAGATATTGACAAGTTTCTGTAGTCAATGATTGATAATCAATACCAGAGGATCATTGGGTCAGTGTCGCTCCAACAAACATTACATAACAGAAATAATTAACCGTCAAATTAAAATAAGATACAGTGTAACCACTAGGAAAGCCTCGAACCGCACTCGGACAGAACATTCCAGCGGTAAAATGCCAACGTTATCCAATGGTAAAATACCGAGGGTTTCCGATGGGATAATACTAATGAATAATAATGGCGAAATACCGAAATACATGTATTCTAACAGTAAAACCCGGGATATTCCAGTGATACAATTATTGAGATATCCCTATAGTGAAATAGCGAGATATTCTTATAGTAAAAAACTGAGACATTCCATTGGTGAAACATGGAGATATCCCCATGGTGACATACCTTGATATTCTTATAGTAAAAAACTGAGACATTACATTGGTGAAACATGGAGATATCCCCATGGTGACATACCTTGATATTCTTATAGTAAAAAACTGAGACATTCCATTGTTGAAACATGGAGATATCCTCATGGTGACTTACCTAGATATTCTTATAGTAAAAAACTGAGACATTACATTGGTGAAACATGGAGATATCACCATGGTGACATACCTAGATATTCTTACGGTAAAAATCGAAATATGCCAAAGGTGTTCTGAGTTATTTGAATGATGAAATAGCAAGGTGTTCAGCTGTGCTAGGCGATATCCCAATGGTTAAATAACGAGATGTTCTAATACAGAAATACCCGGATGTTCTAATGAAGGAAAAACGTGACAAAATACCAGGTTTATATCCACCATCTTGTCCCACGTGCTTTCGTCGGCAATTCCAGCATTATTGACCACTATGTCCAGTCCTTTGAAATTCTGTCTGGCCTCCGCAAACACGTCTATGATAGAGAAAAACAGATGAATATTAATACTAAAACTTGTTATTGATATATCATAATACGTCAGTAACATTTGTATAAATAAAACTTATATATAGAAAATCAAAGTGCCGAGGGCCCTCAGGGATGCTGTGTATGAAGGATTCAAACAATGGAATAAAGGAGGTGGCGGTATATCAGTACAGAATGGCAGTAAATGATAAAGAACATGTTGTTGAGTAAGGGTCATAATAGCCCTTCCCCTTAATCATAATTTTCAATAAATATATATATAACGAGCAGAGTAATGCTAAGTCAATTGAAACTTGTCTGATATTATGGTCCTTAATTAGTGTTTCAAATCGATGGAAATCCTTCAATGAATGAAGCTGCTACAGCGCAGACAATGATCTTTAAAAAAAATTATAACAGTGACCTTGACCAGACAACCCTGCAAACCAAAATTGTCCCGTAAGATTATGGGAAAGTTTACGATTAAATAAAAAAATAAATAACTAAATGTCATATAGATAATATATATAAATAATTATGATAGTATTATTACAATTTGTTATTATCATGATTAATTATACAAAAAAAATCAAACGAGATTGTATTATTTCCAGTGCGTGTAATCACGGACTTATGCAAGTCCCTTGTGTATCTCTCCTTCTCCAGATATTGTAACGAAGGCTAAAGACCTATATAATTATTCAGTGTCTGGTTAGTGTGAATAATATGTATATACGGTTTTAATTTTTGATGTTCAATATGCTATATTCACGAAGCACTTGTATTATACTAATTGGGCCATTATCTAGATATTGTATTGAGTAGCTATCTACAAACTCGTTAGGCACAGCTGCTGTCGCATTGGGAAGCTATCTATAAACTCGTTAGGCACAGCTGCTGACGGCTTCTTTAGTATAAGTCTTCATTTTCTTTCACTTGGAGACTTTCCATTGAGACAAAGAAAACATGAAGCCTTTTTTTTTTATCAAGGACAGTTATCAAGCAGTCGTTCAACAAGTCTCGAGCATGAAACTACGCAATGATGGACAAGGGGAGAAAACTTTTACACACACTTTAGAGTATTGGAATACGAGGCGTACACTGTAGTAATTTGAACCAAATATAGTTCGAAACTTTCACTGATTAAAAACGCCACTGTTAAAGATCTTTACATATTTTCTTTGAGTTTTTTTTGTCTTATACCGATATTTTTAACCATATTATAGCATTTATTATATCATGAAATAATGAACACATTATCTAAAGATCTTTCGCGGAAGGAGATAAAGTATTGTTAGTTTTTTTTGTGAAGAAATTATTCGGTCAAAAAAGCGTAGTAATCTGAGATTGATATAGTTCATGATGCTCACTGAAAAAAACTCGCCTTTTCGTAAAATTTTAACCTTTTTTTCTTAGATTTATTGATCGTTTTTTTATATGTATTTCATCATTTTATAGCATTAATCATACCATGAAATAATCAACACAGCATTTAAAGATCTTCCGCGGAAGAAGAGAGTCTGTAGTTTGGTTTTGATTTGCCCAGTCTTGGCGAGGACCGCTATGAATGCTGTACACAGCATCCAAAAACATTAGCCGCTATTTTGACCAAGGTAGGAGGGAAAAGGTTAGCAAGGCCTGGTGGTCTAACACAGGAAACTAGGAACTGAGACAAACATATAAAGCTACAGTATATTATGACACTATGTATTCTATTCATCTTGCGACATTTCCCATTCAATAACATCAAAATCAGTCACTTGTTCGCCTTTCAGAGTATTGAACATAATCCCTTTATAATTTCAAAATGAATGCAAAAAAACCCATTTTTTACAGAATGTTATCAAATTATTTACAATTGTACGTACATAATTTCGTTGTAGTTTAATGCATATTCATTTACAGAATCTCCTAAGAATTCAATATTAGTTCTTTGAAAAATATAAATTCTTTGTACATAATGCCTTATTTACATAACCCCTTTAAAATTGCATACAGAATATCGTCAAACATTACATGTAGAAATTCTCTTTAATAATTACTGTGATTAACCTTTTAGGTTTGATTCAACTGTGACGTCACATGGGGTACTGCACACGTTTTCCTTGCCAAATTGGGATGCATATTCGTCATAAGTGGCCTGGAGTGTCTTTGGATCAACGTCAGACAGACATACCTATACAATAATGAGTATACAGACATATGTACACACAAATATGAAAACGTCCATACACCCTTGTATAGCATGCAGGCACAAACTATTGACACATAAAACTGTAACGGATGCGTGCCTACAGTTCGTTACCAAGTTCTTTCTTGGACCCAGTAATTGTTGTAACAAACAAGTGCCGACAATATATACAAAATAACGGCCGTCTTTCTGACTCAAATAACTATTACCTAATCTACACCCGGTAGATATTTTACATTAATATACCTCTAACACTAATATAGTCAAAAAGCCAACTAAAACAACTGTATCACAATATATCCGTCACCCTGTATCAACAGTAAATAGCCCCTTACTGCGACACCCGTGACTGTGTACACCCTTTACCGCGACACACCTTGACCACGTCACCCTTTACCGCGACTGCCGTTTGACCAAGTCACCCTATAGCTAGCCACTATAAAACCTATGCCTTGGTAAACCCTGTGTCTTGGTACCTGACACCCTGTATCAACAGTACGTCGCCCTGTACTGTGATACCCTGTGACTATGCACACTATACTGTAACACAATTTATTTTGACCATGTACTATAAAGGAATACAGTGGAACCCTAGCTTATGCAGCTAGGCCCAAACTTATACAGCTTGGTCACTGATTACCTTTTTAGAGTTGTTCCTTCTTCTTCGACCGCCAGAGCAAGAGA